TTGGCTCCACGAACCATCTCGACAGACTGGATCCTGGCATCTCCAAGCGACCCAGCCGCTTCGACCGCAAGTACTACTTCCCAAACCCCGACTACGCCCAGCGAGTTCAGTACTGCCATTTCTGGCAAGATAAACTTGCAGACAATAAGAACCTCGATTTTCCTGACAAGCTTTGCGATAAAATTGCAGAGATTACTGACAAGTTCTCCTTTGCGTACATGCAGGAAGCTTTTATCGCTACTCTGCTCGCCATCGCTGCACGTGGTGGCCACGATAAGACCAAGGCCGAGATGGATGCGCTTCGCTGGGCAGGCCCGCAAGATCCGTTGCGCCCCATTGACTCGCAGTTCCGCATAGTGGGCGGCGGTAGCGAAGACCCTGATGTCAAGCACTTGGAGCTTTGGATCGAGATCCAGAAGCAGGTCAAGATCCTGAGGGACGAGATGGATGAGAAGAGGCTGTCTGAGCGTATGGAGACGTTGCTGCAGCGGCCGGCCAGAGAAGGAAACAGCGGGAATCCCACGAGACATCGTGATGAGCTTGATGCTATGCTGCATGAGAGGCGTGATGACCCCATGAGCATGTTGGGTGGCGCTATCAAGAGGTTCATGTAAGGCCTGAAGCTGCTGCTATGTGTTGTTATGCGCTTTTCCATGGTCTGTTATCTTATCATGCATGTGCGAATTGAACCACGAAACGAAACTATCTCAATGTTTGATCCGAACAACCAATATACGCATTGAAATACATTATGCTTGAGTATATCATATTGACTAGCTCCTCCCTCTGCCTAACATCCAAAAACGCCTCGCTCCATGCTGGGATATCTTATGCTCCAAATAGCTTACAACAGCAACACGCAGAACTCGCTCTGACTCTTCCTCAACAACCACCATCTTCAGTATGCACGCGTAGCGCACTGTAAGCAATGCCTCGCCTCCGAGACCACCGCACAAGTCCCACAGACATTCCTCCCACACTCGCAGCACGCAAATTGACTCGCGCCTTCTGCACCATCCATGTCCATATCGACGTCCATACCACCCACCTCAGCCTCAAGGTGCGCATCGCAGTCCTCACACCATGGCCCTTGGTGCTCACGCTGCTGCGGCGCGACGTAATATGAGAAGATGGGTGTTTGGACCGGCGGGGCAGAAATGTTCCAAAACGAGTGCAGTGTTGATTTCTGCGGTTTCGAGATTACGATGGCGGGTTGTGTGGCGGGTAGAGCGTCGGAGGAAACTGGGGTGGCGTGAGGGTGTTGGCGTTGCGCGAGGAAGAGCTTGTGGACTGTGTTCTCTGGTGGAGCATTAGTACAGATATCCAGGCAAAAAGTCTCGAGGGCAGTAGGGGCGGAGATGGAAAGCAAAGGGAGGTGTGTACCGTGGATAGCGCGCTCGTCAGGTCGGTTGTCGCGGACTCGTTTGCGCGTTCGATTCCCCCAATCGCTGCTTTTTACTCGGTGCGCGCGGGAGAAATCCCAACCATTGGGTCGTGGTAAGCTCTCGGTATCCATGTCCATTGCGCCGTCGAATTGGGGGTAAGTTGTGGGTGACTGAGCGTCTGGTGTTGAGACGAAGCCGGCGCTGGAGATTGATGTTGGAGATGCATCGTCGGTGTGTTTGCGTTTGAGGGCCATGCTGTCGGTTTTAATCGAAGTGGACAATTTGAAGTGGTGTAAGATGCAGTAGGTGGCAATCGGTGGGTATCAAAAGAGCAAATTGTGGTGTAGTGAGCTGAGATGAATGACGATGTTCGATGGCTGGCCGAACACGCGACAAACTACCGCGGCGGAGCGACGCGTTCGCGTTGTGGGGTAGATGAGATCCAACGACCAACACTTTGAATTTCAATACTTTCGTCTTGATCTCAGACATTTTGTACGAAAGCTATTAACAAAGAACGATTAGCAAGGCAGTAGTCACGGCCACGTCTATAGAGTCCAAACAAAAGGCATGGTGTCCTTGTCGAAGAGTCGCTCGTTGAGACACATGCGAGTGTCAAAGTGTCGTATACATTTTCAGCTGCGTATCTCACGGCCATCGATGAGCTCCTATCGTATGCGATACTGCACAAGCTGAACAGTGCGAGTAACCAAAGCGATGACGAAATAAGTACTTGAAGCTCCTGCCCCACACCAGCTTCCACTACCCCACTCATTGCAACATCACGCTACAAATCAATACAACTTGCCTTCAAGCTTGTTCTAACCCTTAAATCTGTCACTACGTAGAATCTACACCAAAATGGTCACCCGCAGAGCTACTCACGCCGGCTCATGGTACACAGACAAAGGGCCACTCCTCTCACAGCAGCTTGATGGCTGGCTAGCAGACGTACCAAGCTCCATAGCACCTGTTGGCACAGCCTCCTCAAAAGAAGGCGACGTTTCTGTGCCGACACCAAATGCTCGAGCTATCATAGGACCGTAGGATTTGCAGCTATTCTGGCATATATCGCAAGGCTCATGGATACGCAGGCATGCTGGATACTCTTACTCTGGTCCTGCCGCTGCATGGGCCTACAAAACTGCTGACTGGGCGAATGCGTAAGTGACCAGATTTCTGGCAGCTCTCATACTGATCCTGCCAGCAAACGCGTGTTCCTTCTCTTCCCCTCCCACCACTACTACCTCTCTGGCGCCGCTACCACCAGCTGCAACAAGTATGCTACGCCAATCGGTGATCTTACCATAGATACTCCGCTTGTCAAGCAGATACAGAAGGAATGGGGCCTCGAAATCATGGAACGGGGCGTGGACGAAGATGAGCATAGCTCAGAGATGCACCTCCCGTACATCTACAAGATGCTGTCGCTGTAGGCTGATCCCCGCAATCAACTCGTCCTGTGCTGATGTTCCTCTCAGCAAAAACACAAACTTCAAGTCAGATCCAACCTCCGTACCGCTCGTCCCAATCATGGTCGGAAACACAGATGCCCGTGCCGAAGAGAATTATGGTTCCCTCCTTGCGCCCTACCTCTCCGACCCTAGCAACGTCTTCGTCATATCCTCCGACTTCTGCCACTGGGGCTCCCGCTTCCGGTACACCTACTATCAGCCGCCCAACAGCTCATCTGGGACGAACCTTAAGTCGAACTCGCGCGTCGCAAGCGACTACCCGATTCACGAGAGTATTGCAGCCGTAGACAAGGAGAGCATGGACGCAGTGGAGGCCGGGTCACACAGGGAGTTCCTGCAGCAGTTGAGAGATACCGGGAACACAGTGTGTGGCAGACATCCTATTGGCGTGTTCTTGGCTGCCGTTGAGAAAGCTGAGGGTTTGGGTGATGGGAAGGGGAGGTTCAAGTTTGTGAGGTATGAGAGGAGCAGCTTGGTGGAAGACATTAGCGACAGCAGCGTGTCGTACGCGAGCGCCTTCGCTGTCTTGTGATCGCACTGAACGACAGAAGTAGTGCATACGTGGAGAGTATGGTGCTTGAACAGCACTAGCTTGCATTGCCTGTCATGGAGAGGGATCGGGGCGTTTCGAGAGGCTTTACTTTTAGATCCACAGGATTCTGGACAGCCAAATGTAACTCACAACAGTAAGCTTACGATCGTCCCATCTCGCGCTTTTGTTCAGGCAATACACCCGCAGGGAAACATTTCTCATGTCTAATGGTGTGTAACGCTAGCAAAAAAAGCCCACGAGTCACCAGCTATGCACATCATCATATTGAGTAAAGGACGTCGTGTGCGCAAAAAATAGGTCGTACCCGGACTCGAACCGGGGTTTCCAGAATTTTTGAAGTCAAGTCAAAATCTGAAGTGATAACCTCTACCTGTTAAGGAATTAGTACATACTAATTGAAGAAGCGGATCAGTGGAAACGTACACCATACAACCGTGTTGTGAGATGGAGATACAGCGTTTTGTTAAACTCATAATGTACTCAACAAAGAGTTGATGGCAGTGCTAACGCGAGGTCTAATACGCGCAGTACGCCGTGCCAGAGGCTCTTACCGAGCCCCAGGTGGCAAGTGGGTAGTTGTGAGTGGAGACTAGCTGAAATCGATGACACATCGATTGCCAGCCACGTTGAGCGGGCTCTGAGCGGGGCATTCAGATAATGTGGACACCAACCAGCCGAGTTTTGGATGCTGTACAAGACAAGCTTTCCAAAAGGCTGTACGCGTCGTAAGATTGATGTCAGTATGCTTTCAATGGTATGTCCGTGTTTGCGCAAATGTAGGGATTTTGGACTTCGGAGACGCTGACTACACACCCGAGCAAAGGTGCTTTTTCACTTGTCCGACATAGAGCTTTTGGCAGCGCAGAATTACGAGCTTGGATGACCGGCATTTGTAGGCTGCACATAGGACACGATGCCGGTCTGTACATGCTCTCGAAAGCATCAGGGCCTCCATTGGAGAACTCTGCTGCACCATGATCGAGAACTTTGTTTTGCCTTTGTTGTTATTCGAATCCAGCGAGAGGAGACAATTGGTGACTAGGCGCATTTTCGCAAGATGAATGATTCGTGTATGATCGCACCGCTGAAGCTTGCCGCAAGAGACCACACCCTCGATACACGCGCATACACAGTCTCCAACCTGCCGTAGCCCCCCACTGGAAGGTCAAAACAGCACCTTTGTCCGTCGGAATACCGGACAAAGGAAGAGGATAATTGGGAAAACATTGATGCATGTTATGAGGATTGGACTCCATTCCGGGACCTCGTTGCATCGAAGCCAACAGTAACCTGCTCGCTCACCAATATTAGTAAATGCGAATACATCGTTCCTGGATTCAAAGCTGGAATAAGCGAGCGGCCACAGAAGGCAATGAATGTCATACAACAGCAAACCTGAATAAAGATGTTGGAGCGTACAAAGTCAACCAAGCATACGTCACCTTGAGTTGAGGTTGTGCAGTAAATACCTAGCATATGAATCTATCCCCGTTAACTAGTCCTCCAATTGGTGAGCGAAATAGTCGTGACGAACCTTTGTTCAATTTTTCAACAATATAATGTTTACGCATCTAAAAATACCATCAAGCGAGCGTAGTCTAGTGGTTATGATGTCTGCTTTACATGTCAGATGTGAAGCGCAGAAGGTCGGGAGTTCGATCCTCCCCGCTCGTAGCATCATATTTTTTTCCCATGATCCACCCTGTACACTTCACCGTGTTTATGGAGACAGTCTTTTTGGCCGTCAAGCTTCGACATAGATACATTAGCATGCGCCATGTCTGACATGTCAAGGTCATTTAAACATCATCTAGCTGCAAGCTGAGCACATATGGCCAAATTCAAAGTATGTTTCCCCATACTTTCAAGGGTTACTCAACTCAAGTATGTAACCAGCTTGTCGTTTCACACAGATAAGACAAACACTATTATGCATACATCAGACAGCTATTTGAGTTTTGTGGAGAATCTCCTCGCTTCAAATATTCGGTGATGTGAACAATCCACAGCTCCCGTACTGCCGTCGTGCACCGCCCCAATGCACCCATGACATCGACATCGACATCTTACCCCAGATAAGCCTCAGGCATCTCACTCCGCCCACCTCCTCTCCATCACCACACATTCATCATGTTCGCACAAACCCCCTTACGAGCTCGCGCAGCCGCCAGGACTGTCGCCGCTCAAGCCACACGCACCTACACATCGCGCGCCGCAGAGATGCCCGCCCGAAGCGCGCCCATCCGCACACTGCTGCGCACCTCGACTCTGCGTGCATCCACAACAGCCGTCCAGCGCACCTCTCCCTACCTCACATCCCAGCTGCACACACAAACTCAATCGCAACTGCGCTCGCGCTCGCCTTCCCCAGCGCCCCGCTACGAAATCCGCAACCATTCCATCCTAGCCGCGCCAAACCAATGGACACGCTTCTCCACACCAACATCCCTCTCCTCGGTCCGCACGTTCACCTCATCCCCCAAGATTTCCTGGCCAGCCGAGCCCTCCCCTGCCGACGTCTCCCCGGAACAGCAGACCGTCATCGAAGACCACATCGAGACGATAACGGACATGTTCGGCACGGCAAAGGACGAATTTGAGATCGCGTCCGAGGAGACGGACAAGAACACCACGTACGCGCCAGACGACCGTGAGGCGGCGCGGGAGGAGTTGGACAAGCTGCTCGAATACTACGGGAGGGTTGTCAGTGAAGCCGACGAGGTTGTTGGGAGCGAGGTTAGGAGGAGGGTCGGACATAGGATTAGAGAGCTGGAGGCTGGGGTCAAGGCGCTGGAGGAAAGAGCATTGGAACATGATTAGACATTGGTGTTTACTTCGTTCTCGCTTTACGCGTCTGCGCAGATGGTTATTGGTGGATGAGGGTTACTGAGCCTAACACTCTATCGTTATTACCTGGCGTTAGGGGTGCAGCATTAGGAACAACGTCTGGACACATCATGTCGTTGGGAAACGCGGGCCAGATGCACGCGTGTACAGATAGTACTGTATAACATTCTTCTATGTTCAGATGTAAATGCTCCAATAATCTACTTTGTTGCCCGGTCAAAAAAGCGTTGTGCGCCTGATGCTGTACTGTACAATGCTCAAATGTCAATACTCGCTATGACTGTATATCATAAACGCCAATCGTGGTTCAACACCACTCAAGATAACCCTCAAATCCCGCTAAGCCTCCTTCGCACACGCTTCATTGCTGTCGCGGCTTCGGCATGCTCGTATGCTTCACGCTCCAGCCCTGCATCGTCCTTCTTGCACCCAGAGTTCTACGCTGAGCTTGCTGGTTATGCACCACGCTCATCGACGTGGTGTGGAAGGTCGACGCTGGCCTGAACCCACCAGTAGACGCAGTTGCAGCTTTCACCGAATTGTCAGTCTCTTGTACATCGCTATCGTCATCCGAGAGAGTGATGATCTCTTTGCTGTCTGGCTTGGAGGGCGAGCTCAGGCAGAGTGCATGTCGCGCAACCTCTGCATCGGACTCTTTGTCAGTTCTTCTGGGCTTGCCGACCATTGGTCGATTGTGCAGCGTGCGGTTGGGTACCGACAGCGGCTGGAATGGTCGTGGTTGTGAAGCTAGTTGCTGGACGTTAGAGATGTCGTTCGGCGGCGCAAGGCCTGACAGTGATGATTGTGATCGCTTGAGCGAACGCCCTCCAAAGACAGGTGCTGGCTCTGGTGTTTCAGAGACTGTCCTTCCTGCACCCTTGAAGAAGCTTGTGATAGAACCCTGGCCTGCTGCTCGGGGTTTAGGCCTTCTGCCCTGGGTCGGATTCTCGCCCAGTCTTCTAACCTCGTTATAGGTCGGCTTGCTGCTTCCACCATCCTCGTCGGGTCGTTGTAACTGTTGCTGTACGTTTTGTAGGTCCCTGGCGCTTAGAAAACCATTAGCAGACGAAAAGCTCGTTGTCGTCGTAAAGCCATTATCTTGAACACCGACATGTACGCCTGGAACGTGTATCGAACGTAAACTATCAAGTGCCTCGACTTTCCGTCGTTTGTTATCGACATCTTTCCTGTCGTGGTTCCAGACTGTGTAACCTGTGCCGTACGATGCCGGTACGCCATCTATCTCATCTCTTGTTGCAGGATATTTGTCGTCTTCTAGGCGCTCCAGCAGTGTACGAGCAACGACAAGCTGAGGAGGCTCAGGACAGCGTCTGCCGAGGATGCGTGCGATGTCAGGTACAGTGCTTCGTTTGAATGCAAGATCTGGGCCACGCGGACTAAAGAACTTCTCGAGACTACTATCGTCCACAAATCTCGACAGCTTGGTTTCTTCCTGGCCAGATGATCGCATCGGGCAACTGAGATACAACAGCGCTTTTGCGCGCGTCATGCCAACGTAGAGTAGTCTTCTCTCTTCATCGTGATCGTCCGCTCTGGAATGCGGGAGGGACCCATTATAGACTGCAGGTATGAAGACGACGGGCCATTCGAGGCCTTTGGCTGCGTGGATGGTCGAAATTGTGACTTGAAATACTTCCTCGCCATTATCCCTTTCCACCTCGGTCGCAAGTGCAACGTTTACTAGGAATTTGGAGAGTACATCAGCCGGGCTGTCTGGACGTTGTGCGATGCCTTCCACCTCAGGCAAGGCGTCATCGACGCCTGTTTCACCATTTGTGATTGCAACTGCCATTTGTGTTGCTTGTGCGATCAGTTCGTCAACATTGGCCAGTCGGTCTTTCCAGTTTTCCTTGTACATCTGTTTTAGGTACGCCTCGAACGCCGTTTGATTGAAGACGTGCGTGATGAGATCAAGAAGGTTCCATGGCTCGCCTTGAGAAGGCTCAAGCTTTTCGCGCGCTGTGTAAATGAGTCTGAAGAACAGTGTGATGCCCTGTTTTGCTGGTGCTGATAGTTTGGTAACAGGGTTCTTTCTGCCCTGTGCAATATCCTGTACCAGAGTCCACAAAGGCACTTTTCGAACCTCTGCTTCTTCCAGCAGGGCTTTGATTGTTCTGTCTCCGATCTTGCGGGATGGCGTGTTGATGACATTGACAATAGCATCGTTGTTGTCGGGGTTGTTAATGACTCGCAGATAACTTAGAATTATCTTGATCTCGGCTCTGTCAAAGAAGCGTTTGCCTCCTACCATTTTGTAGGGGATGCCGGCCCGTCCCAGTTCACGCTCGATAGACAGGGAGAGCGCTGCCGAGCGGAGTAGAATTGAGTAGTCGTTGTAAGTAAGCAGTCCAGCGCTGAGGATTTGTGTTCGCTTGATCTCGTCAATAATCCATTGGGCTTCCACGTTTGCAGTGGCAAGATGGCGGAGCGTCGGCTGTTCGCCAACGCAGTGCGTGGCAATAAGTGCCTTCTCTGGTCGGCTATCGTCCTGCTCGATGACAGCGAGCGCAGCGCTGAGAATCGACCCAGCAGACCGGTAGTTGTTCTCCAGATTGATGACAATAGCTTCGGGGTAGTCTACGCGCATTCGAAGCAGATTCTTGATCTCGGCAGCACGGAAGCTGTAGATGCTCTGATCCGGGTCTCCCACAATAGTGATCCGTTTCGTTTTCTGTGCCATAAGCCTCATCAGCTCGTACTGAATGTTATTTGTGTCTTGGTATTCGTCGATGAGCACGGCTTGGATGGTAGAAACACATGATGGGTGTTGTCGTAGCAAGTCTACACAGCGGATGAGAAGATCATCGTAATCTAGCAGATTAGAAGCTTTGAGGTGTTCCTGATAGGAAGAGTAGATTTGGGAGAACTCGCTGTCCTCGGCCTTCTTCTTGGTCGCCGCGAAGTCCTCGGCTGAGATGCCCTTCGCTTTCAACCCTGAGATCCTGGACCGAGCGTGCCCTGGTTCGACCAGGTACTGATAGCGATTTACGATGCGCTTGATAATCGCTTTGCTGTCGTCGGTGTCTGCAATACCGAAATTCTTGTCGATGCCGATTTCCTGGCCGTACCGAGAGAGGAATCGGCGCGCAACTGAATGGAAAGTGCCCAGAATGAGTTTTGCTTCAAGCTTTTCGCCAACAAACCCCTTTATTCTTTCCTTCATCTCCCGAGCCGCCTTGATTGTGAAGGTGCAGACAATGATGTTCCATGGCTGTAAGTGTTCGTGGATAACGTGATACGCGACGCGCGCCGTCAGTGTCTTCGTTTTGCCCGATCCAGGTGGCGCCAGCACTTGGAGCACACCAGCAGGGCTTGTGACCGCATCTTTCTGCGCTTCGTTCAGACCCTCCAAAAGGGCGTCCATCGCTGTGAAGTAGGCGAGGGGCGTCACATGTCGATGTTAGGGGTGCAACGAAGAGTGAAATGAGTGGCGCGACCGGCAGATGGCGCTAGAGCGCGTTGGCACGTGACAATGGCACACACAACCTGAGCGGCAAAAGCAGCGCGAACTTTTTGACCATGCATTTCCTACTGTTTGCTCTTGATCACGGTGAATTGCACTTGAACAAATATCACACCGTCCAACTAGATCAAGGCTGATCAGACCAACAGTCCAGATGCTTCCGCCTGACGACCAGAATGATCACAGAACGGGAGGTAAGAAACTCAGGCTTCAGTGTTGCAGTGTGGAGTTCACTCATTTTGGCCAAACTTGAGAATGAAGTTCTGAGCTGACAACTGAGTCTGTGCATTGTGTACACCTGAAGAATTGATCCTTTGAAGTCAAAAAGCGAGTTTTGCAGCTC